AAATTGGTCCATACTTAGGCGTTGGTGTTGTTGGTTCAAAGGTACATAGTCATCATCTGTTAAAATTGAATCAGACCTCACAAAAACCGCACTTGCTGCAATATAAATAGCAACAAAATTTAAAATATATTAATTTTATATTACTAATTTTATGTTTAATTTTATGTTTACTAATATTTTTAACGTACTAGTTTATTTTTATCTAACTTTATAAGCAGTATTTTATTAGTTTCAAAAATTTAGTAAGTTTAAAAATATGATTCCAAAGTAAAATCATATTTTCATTCGGAACTGCTTAGACTGACTTAGAAGTACACAAAAATTCACTCAATAGGTTGATACGCTGAATGAAGTAATCATGCATATTCATCAAAATAATCTTAATATAGTTTCTTTTAAAAAATATCTGATTATGAATGATATAAAATTTGGTTATGAATAATTTCAAATAATAATTGATTATGAAAATGTAATAAAAAAGATTGTAAGAAATTTCTTACATGATTCGACCGGAGAAAAACGTAAAACTTCATTTTCCTCCCAGCTACAACTGACATCATCTTGCCTATCCATAACTCCATTATTGCCATTCATTTTAGCAGCATATTTATTGTCTGTTTTGCCAGAATTTCCAATTGTGCTATAATATCTAATCGTTTCTGTTGTAATGCAGCTAAATTTCTCACTGGTTTTATGAAATTATTCGCATGCATAACTTGACGACTTGGTAAGTAACTTGAATCCCAGTTTTGCATTCGGGCAGAATCCATTCTAAATGTACAAATCATTCAAATAATATAAATTAGTATATAATAAATAATATCTTCAATTAAATTCTATACCAGTATACCCCTACTGTATGGAAAATAACTATTGATAGCTAAAAAAGTCTTTATATAGATATTTGATGCTATAAGAGCACATTCATTGTGGACATAAGCAAAGTCCGAAAACGTACGTCTTTTAAATGTAAAATTATATAGTGTATTTTTGCAATTAAGCTAGGAATTGCAATAAATCAATATTTATTTTTCATAATTTTCTACATAAAGTTGAAAACAAATCTCAAAACTCTCACCATGATGTTTACAGTGTTTTTATAAAATCTTAGCATTGTGACTAATTAATATTTTCAATTAAAATTAGCTCATTTCAGGCACTGCGGTGTGAAAAGGCAATGGAAAATCACGTCTCGGACCTACTAATTTTCTACTATATAAGTATTTTCAATTAAAAATAGCTCATTTCAGGCACAGCGGTGTGAAAAGGCAATGGAAAATCACGTATCGACTAAGATTGCATCTATAATCAACTTACTAGATCATGCCATTCTTAGTATATGCTGAGTTAAACTTTAACTCTAATCAGGGAATAATAGTGTGAGAAATTACTCATTACGATTACACACCATTTTAAATTGATTTGTTGTGTGATAGCGATTTCAAAAACTATGAAAAAATCTCCAGTTTCCCTCTCAAAAACAGTTTTGTCTACAGATTTTAATGTTAAATTTCTATATTTTGGAGAATTTTTCAAATTCAAAATTCAAACTTTCAAAAATTGAAAAAACTAAATTGACCCCAAAATTAAGAAAGTGTTAGGGTTGGCCAACCCTTGATAAACAAACTCTTTTTTAAAGTAAAATTCAAGCCTTTTCATAAGCTCAAAGAATCCGAGTCAAAAGTATGTCAGAACCATTCACTGACTGAATGTGGTATGAAACATTATTCGCGTCGGGGTCGGTGGTAATACGGTAAAAATTTAGGAATGTATGTATCTTAATTACAAATGATAAAAAAATGAAATTAAAAAATGCCCTCAAAACTAAAAAAAATCTTAAGTATACCCTATAAAAAATAAGTGATGGACAAATTTCATAAAGATCGGTCAAGCTGTTTCAAAGGAATATGGTCATAAATATTATGGCACAAAAATTATATACAATTAATGTTTAAAGAACGTTATATTTTGAATTTTATTAAGAATAAGTTTGATACAAATAAGCATAAACCTTGTAATATAATAAAAACTTGTAATAGTATTTAAATTACACATTTTAATACAATTAATAAAAGTAACTAGTGGGGTGCATGGCATCGTGCCTTAAGGCAAATTGCTGGAACTTCCCGTACCGTAATCAAAAATCTTGGTACGAAACCCAAAAAAATTTACACAAAATGTGTACACATTATTAAAACCTCTATAAAATATCTGATAATTTGATGTACATATGTCCAATAAACATTTTTGACTGCCAAATGACATTTTTTTAACTTATTTTTATTGAGAGTCCATAAGCGCTAGACCTGCCTTCCCAAAAATTTAATCAGTTCTTCATCTTGTCAATACAAGTAAAATGTTTTTTGAATTATTAAAATCGGATGCTCCGTTTTTCTTAAAAATTGAGTTACCGTTTTTGACCTTCGCCAAAAACTAATCAGCACGTATCAATTTCGAATCGAATGAAATAATTATTCAAATCGGTTGATCGGTGTTCCCGAAATCGTCGACGAAAATTTGTATCCGCACACACATACATACACAACAAAGTCACACACATATATCCATTTTTTCTAAGGTATGCCAAAATATTCAGAAACCTTTAAAACATAAAGATATATAAAAATTTTCATTTTCAATTTTTTGTGATTACTATAGCTTACCCTAATGGAAGTTAATAAAATATGCTATTGCAAAATGTATAATCATATAATTACCTGTTTGGAGTATAATATTCCATATTTGGCTTATTTGGGCTTAAAACAATTCCTTGACTTGTGGCAAATCCATCATGTGTATTTGAAAATCTATGGTCACCTACATATAAATAAATAAATAATTTTATATAGAATACAATTTACTAATGTTATATTTTAGTGTAAAAATGTTACAATACCTAAAACTGGCAGTACCGGTCTGGCTGTAGACATGTTGTAACCAGTGTTATAATGCAAATGTTCATTAGGAATTCTAAGAGGCAGTGGCATTGGTGCAGGCATATTGTGAGTGGGAACCATATTGATTGGACTCATCGCTTGATAATTTTGTTTAAAATTTTCATCTGTTATAGTTTTATTATTACCTGTCGGTCTGAGAGATTTACGACTTTTTGCTCTATGTCTGCAAGATAAACAAAATATATTTACTTGCTTATAAATATAAGTATATTTTGTTATGTGATCATAATTGTGATATGTATAAGTACTTAAATAACAAATTTGACACTAATAATCTCTACTTATAATTGAGCTTTACTATTTTGTAATCAATTCTTAGCATATAACTAGTTACTAATACTGAAACAGTAGTTATACAATTCAAGAAAATTTAATATATTATATAATAATAATTTTTATATAAATTTTATGAATTGCCAGACACTCCAAACAAACTAATAATTCAAGTATCTTCTATTTACCATATTTATTAGTGGAATACTCTGAAAACAGTACTATACATGTGAACAGAAAATATGACTGAGCAGAGAGATTCAATAAAATCTAATAAATTTAGTTTAAACAAATGAAATATTTTAAAACAAGATCAAGATTATCTTTTGGTACCTGTCCAATTCGTCCTCAGAATGAGCAAAAGTGCAATTTACTCCTCTTGGGCAACTATTCTTCAATGTGAGATCTCTACACATACTAACTTTATATTTACTGTTGACGCCATTGGCTCCATTGATGGTGATAGGCTGTGGTGCAGCAGCACCGACATTAAAATGTTGTGACATTTGTTCGCTTTGTTTACAGACTATATTTCCAGAGCGACACATACCAGACACATTTGTATTTCCCAAATTATTATTAGAATTTCCATGGGAATGATGCATGATGAAATCAACTAAACCAAAGACAACTCGGGCAACGGCTGTTAATGCTGCACTACATTGCTGCCAAGTTGGAACTACAGATTCTGTGTAAAGAAGATATATATATATATATATATTTCAAAGTAACTAGCAGCCCATATATATATATATATATATATATATATATATATATATATATATATATATATGCTAATATTTTAAACCAAAAATTATATAATATTAGGTTATAAGAGCACATAAGTTGAGAAAAAAATTCAACATTCAAATTAAATACATATATATATATATATATATATATATATATATCATATATAAAATTCTTCTGTACGGGTGTACTTGATTCTTCTCCTAAGCGGTTATTTGGATTTAGATAATTCTTTTTAGGGTTTTTAAAAGAAAGAAATTTTTAAGATTTAATGAACAATAAAACTATAATAATATTGTAGAAATAAATAGCAGAAATTACAAAAAACCAATTATCATTGTTTGACATTGAAAACATTTGAACTGTCATCTGCTAGAAATATCAATTCACTTGAAATATGAATTTAGGTGAAATTATGAGCCTAGATAATATTAGAATATAAATATACAAAAAAATATAATGTGTACATTATTAATAAAATTGCATATACATTATTTTTTTAAACCTATGCATGTCGCATTTTGGTTTACTTAACTAATTTATTTAATAATACAAAAAAATATTCCGACTTATTGAAAAAATGATTTAGAATTTTGTCTCATGTGTCAAAAATTTATTTGTTCGGAATTGGATATGGAATATTTAGCAAGTTGATCTTAGATTGAAGAGTGCTCATAAGAACTAGATTTTACAAATTAATTCACCTAAAATTTGAACATAAACAATAATGTTTATTAAATTATTAGTAAGAAAAATGTACTTTAGAAATTATAATTGCCAAAGAGCGACTAATATATTTAGACGAGATTATAAAAATAATAGACTAAATTATTGAAGCAATTATGTTGTGTGGTAAAATCAAGTGTGATATTGTTCTTTTACCGCAGATATTATATTATTTTTTTCTGAATTTCTTATACTGCTTATGTAAAGATTATAAATGAATGAAAAAGGCAGGACATCAAATAGGATATAAAAAGTATGAAAAAATTTAGAACTTTTGAATTGTAGACAGGGCAATGTCTATCGGGTAATCCAGTATATATATATATATATATATATATATATATATACATATATATATACATATAATTTTTAAGTCGATTTATTGTTTATATTATTAGATATAAGACCTGCATTTGCATCAATTCCCGCTAGTAGTTCTAAGCTTTTAGTGAGACCTCCCAAATCAGCCGGATCTCCACTTCTCTGCAAAGCTATCACCAATTCTTGCACACCAAGGGCAAAACTTTGTGGTCCTTGAAGTTTATCCATCACACTTTGCATATGTGATCTAAGAAAAAGTAGAAAAATATTTATTTCCAACTAATACCATCATTGATATTCTTCATAAAAAGTCATAAAAAATTCTATCCATATTTACTAAAAATTTCAATACCTGTGTGCAGCATCACCATACAATAAAGCACTCCATTGGTCTGGTGCTACTCTTAAACCAGCTTCTGTGGCAATTTGCACAATTTGTGCATCATGTTCTCGCCTTAATGCATCATAGGTTCGAAATTCTTCTTTTAACTGCATAAGAGAAGAATCTCCTTCACGTTTAGATACCTGGAAACATTTAGCTGACTAATAAATATGTAATTCTTAATTAAAATTTATGTTGAGATGCTAATCTCACTAGTTCACATAGTTAATTATAAGTTATACAAAATTGAACTGAAAATTAAATTATACATTTACTAAAATCAATTAATTATGAGTCTTCATGTATTTTATTAATTTTTTTTTATTATAAATGTTAAGGTTTGTATAATTGAAATTTTAGTGAATGTTTATTAAATTTTTCTTAATTTCAATGCTTCAATGCTGAAGAGTGAAAAATACGATTTCTTATATATCCAATGCATCAAAAATATTTCCTCTTTGCTAAAAAAATATATGAAAGCTTTTAGATCAGAAAAATAAAAGTATAATAAACAAGTATAAAAGAAAACAGAAGTTTTACAGATATCAAGTTTTCTCAAAAATTTTATTGTAAAATATTGTGAAATACTGTAAAAAATTTATATTTGAAATTTGATGTTCAAGCAAATAAATAATTAGTGGTGTATGGCATTGTGCCTTCTGCTGGTACTTCCCGTACCATATTAAAATATTTGAAAAATATTAAATGTTTTCAAATAGATTATTATAAATACTGTAGCTTTCATTATTCATGCATCATAGACAAAATATAAGAGCTTTTGAATCGCACGACAATGTTGATATTTGCTTGCATGACAAGTGAATAAATAAACCTTAATCAAGCCAAGTTACAATGAAAGATTTTGTCATAATTCTAAGAATTACATGAACTGAATTGCAAAGTTAAAATCATTTCAAGTATAAAAGTGAGCTTTAGATTTTTAATTAGAATTAAAATTAAGAGCTATCTCTAAAAACAATCGGTAAGTTAATAATTTAAATTAATCATTCTATTAAAGTTACTTATTAACAAGTCTGAATATCTCTTCATGTCCAACACAAAATTATTATTTATCAGTTTGCCATTGCAATCCACAATACAAAGTTACATACGAGTTAGCCTCTACATATATATAACTCCCTCACCTTAAAACAACTAGCTCTGTATAACAATTGAACCACGTGTCCAATGCTGGTTTTAGATGCTTGTGGAAAATGTGGTTCCAATCTTTGAACAACAAACATAACCAAAACTTTTCGAGATAAGGCAGAGCCATCCTCTAATGCTAGTAATACGAGTTTTAAAACTTCTTCCTGCATGGCTGGTCCAAGAAATTGACATCCCCTTGCTCTCACGCCAGCCCATAAATTAGCGCTAAGCTAAAAAAAAAACAAAATGTGAAGACATATATACAGAATACTTAATATCACTGTGAAGAACTGAAAAATAAATAGTATATTCTTATTAGAATTAACTTCAATTATACACTAAAAAGATGATATTGACCAACAAAATTCGTAAAACAATGTTATAAGCAAAAAAAATCTTTGCATCCCCTGATAACTGATCTCAATAAAGTTAAAAATGGCTTTAATGCTAATTACCAGAAATAAGCAACTTGAAATTATTGTAAATTAGTATATAATAATAGTAAACTTATTACAATAATCTCATTATAAATATATATGAAATATTGTGCTATCTTTTAAAAAATATAATTTATTCATCCTCTTCGTGATAACATATTCAAGTGATCCCAATTGAGCTAAGGTAATTGTACATAAAAAAATTGTACTTTAAAAAAAAAATACAATACAAGTCATATGATATTATTTTACAATACAAATCAATATATTATTATTTATGAAACTTTGCGAATAGTATTTCTTTTATGAAGTACCTGCTGAGGATTTTGATGCTGCAGTATTAATTCAGTAACTGTTCTTTCTCCTAATGATCTAGCTGCTCTCATTGATCGCGATCTCCCTTCATCTTCAATTAATTGACAATTTACCAATGTCACTAACTTTCGTTGCATTGGTCGAGACAATATACTTGTTGATCCTATAGCATAAAAAAATAATTTATGTTGGTGCACTCTAATTGTTTTACATGTTTTTTTTAAAAAAAACTTACCATTGTGGAAAGGTCTTAAATATAATGCCAACTCTTCTATGCATTTCATTGCTTGCAAGTAATATTTTAGATCCTCTGGACTTAGACATTTTAATACCTCAGAATTATCACAATCAACTGGAACCGTGGATGGACTTATAAGTTGTAATAAAGCAGAGTTAACAGGTAAACTATTTATGTCTGTCACAATAACAGTCTGAAAAATAAAATGCATTTGCAGGTAAATTTGCAATAATATAGTATGAGCTTCTAAGAGAAAAACTAAATATGTATATAAAATTATTAAATGTAATTTGCAGTACAATAAGTTTGATTACAAATGAAAAATACTAGCTGAAAAAAAACAATGATAAATTTTAAGCAATCAGTGGATTAGCCAAGATTAATTTTAAATACATTTTATGAAATGACCACTATATTTAATGCTAATAGTAGACACAGGCATTTTTTAGCTTTGGAATGTTTTGAAAAATTCTAATCACATCACACTTTCATGTGATGCCATGATCAAGTCTAATACAAAATAATTATTAGTTTTAAATTTTTAGTCCAGTCATTTAAGCATAAATTAGGTAAGGATCTCGGAATTTGAGATACCCAGCTGTGAGTCTGTAAATACTTGTATATTGGCATTTAAAAGTTGTCTCAAAACCTTCATATGGCACGTACACCCTAACATATGTAGGTTTTGAGATAACTTTTAAATGTCAATATACAAGCATTTACAGGCTTACAGCTGGGTACATATAGGGTGTATGTACCCACATATGGTACGTAAACCCAACCATATGTAGGTTTTGAGACAACTTCTAAATGTCAATATACAAGTATTTATACTTACAGCAGGGTATCTCAAATTCCGAAGTCAACTTACTATAATGACTGGACTATTCAAGAATAACAAGAAATAAAAACAATGTAAAAAGATAAAGCATGTCTCAATAAATTTTAAGTAAATTTATAATAAACATTAAAGTGAGAGGGGCAATCATTATATATTGATGTGAGAGGGGCAGAAAATATATATTGAGTTTGGCACTTTTACTTAAATCAATCGACTTTAGGGTGGTCCTTAATATGAATGTTTTCAAATTTCCTTGCTCCCAGGGAAAAAAGCTTCAACTACTTCCAAATTGATAAAAAAAATTCTTATAGTTTTAGCTCTTAATATTAATTTTAAGATAGTCCGCACTCCAATCAAACTTTCTTGATTCTTCTTCCTGAGTAAATACTTATTTTATAAAATATATCAAATTTTTGTTGTAATTTTTTCATTTATGACAAAATGAGCATATACAATGTTATTCTTAAAATTTTGATTCACTTGTCGCTAAGTTATCGACTTCCAAAAAACAAATGGAATTTTACCCATGTTATTTCCATAAGAAACTTTGAACTGCGGACTATCTTAAAATTAGTATTAAGATTTAAAACTATCCTGATATATATATATATATATATATATATATGTTGATAAAACAAAACTTTTACATCCAGAGAATGTACATTTGAGATTTGTTTTTCGAGATATCATGTTCGAATTTATTATTTTTAGATTATTATTATACCAGTTAAAGTTTCTCGTTTTATCTAAATATTTGTCACCGCCCTAAAAATATTATATATTAAATGTTAAATATGAACAATACAACACTCAGATTTTTAACACACACTTTATTTAATAATTACAGAAGTTTCGAGGCCATGGTATGTCTCATCTTCAGTGTAATTTCAAAACAGTTTGATTTTGATAATCCCCAAATCTTATTCCAAGAAAAAAACTTATTTAAACGGAGCATGGCAGAATCAAGGTTAATAGTTCAGACTAGCAATAGCGTAAATTTGAGAACTTACACAAATATTTTGCACGACTCTTATATAAACATCATTAGTAATTTATAATTTATTTTTTCATTTATCTTATTCTCCTCAATAAATTGATCTGTTTTCACATTTGTTGATTTTAGTATGCAATCGTGCACTCCTTTTTGTTTACATTATAATAATATCCATCCATGTCTCTTCATCTCAGACACTTAATTGTAAGAGATAGTTGGTATTTTCTTGTATAAAAAAAATTAAATATAATTTAAATAAAATATTAAATAATGTATTAGTATATAATTTTTACTGTTTTAAAATTACACTAAAGATGAGGCATACCATGGTCTAGAAACCAAATTAAGTGTGTGTTAAAGATCTGAGTGTTGCATTGTTCATATTTAACATTTAATATTCGTTCCACTCATATCACAAAAGTCTATAATATATATGTATGGTCAAAATACCTGGTCAAATGGACACTGTTTCCTATGAAGATTGGCCAAGCACGTCTTACATATAGTATGGCCACATCCTAAACTTATCGGTGCCCTGTGGTTTGCTGCAAACTCGTGGCAGCAAACTGGACAACACAGGAAATCGGTCCATTGTGGAGCCTGGATTGGCATTCTATGAAAAACACGTACAATATAAATTTCTTCACAAACCGAGTACAATTTGATTTAAATTAAATTTCACAATCGATGTTAATATCAGCAAGACCATATTTACTTGATAGCTTATTGAGTAAACAAAAATACAGACTCAGAAAAATGTAACTCACGAAAATGCAATATGTACAATATGTTTCTTTTGTAGAGGAAAAAAATTCACGCCTGCATAATCTGACGATTAATTCAATTGAAAAAGCATTACCAATACGTAAATGATTTAAGGCTTAGGCACTGGAATAATAAAACTATATATAAAATGTAATGCGTTTACAAATTCATTAGTAAGTGCCAACAAGACAACCATTTACACAACGTGATATACAGAAAACAATAACATCATCTTTCAGCAAAATGATACTGCACAACTTTACAACAAGTAATTAATTTTTTTTTAATGTGTACCTTTCGCTATATTGCACAAACACATCACATTTAAACAAAATTAAAACAACATTATAGTTGATCGTAGAAGAATTTGCTGGAATTCAGCTGCAATCACCAATGAAATGACACATAATGACGTTTATTCAATAGAGTGAAGTAAGCCGTAAGATACTCGTGCTACCAACATCGGATAACAAAAAGTTAATGTTGACACCATAGACCTTATACTACATGGACTGCTAGTGCGTGCGAAGGCATCATAGATAAATAAGCATAATGGAAGGGAAACTCAAATTGACTGAAGCGCTCGCAATGGTCATTTTGAGCACTACGGGAGGCTATTATAACCGAAATAGAGAACAAATACGCGTAAAATTATATATTTCAAATTTAAATAAATTAAATAAAAATTAGACATCGATGTTGTTGTGTATAGTAGATTGTAAAAACAACAGTAGAAAAAGCGAGTGTAAATTCTAGAAATTCCCTACAGCCAAATGGTAATTAAATCAATGTGAACAGTGGATAGATAGCTGCTGTTAAATCAAAACCCTATTGTTGTAAAATTGTTATGGTTAGCAAAAAAAAATTGGAATTCATTAAATTGTTATATTATCAAAATTTACTGATTAAAAGCAAAGAAAATATTCAGCAAACAGTTTAATATTGGCTAAAATATTGGAAAATACAAATTTATTATATTAAATTAATTATGTATATATTAATTACATATAATTATAGATTAATTTTAATTGAATGATTAAAAAAAAAAGAAAATTTATGACAGAGCAAATTTTTTTTTATTTTGCAAACAGTTTAATTAATACAATACTGAAATAATGAAAAATATGAAAAAGTATTTGTAGTGACCTTTACATTGAATGTAAATATCAGAAAATATGTTGAATCCTAGCTACTTTTCAACAATATTTTCCTCAATTTACAAATCTCGAAAAGTTAATGTAGTGTTTTTCCTTGATCATTGTTTCGGGCTGGAATTTGATGGATGATAGATTTAAATCATATCTTTATAATAATGTCCAAGACTTTAGTTTGACCAAAAATAATGAAAAAAAAATCAGTAAATTAAATTATTATTTACTTATTTCATTGAGAAAGTATTTTTATCATTATTATAATTTTAATATTTACGATATTTTGTAAAAACTATTCCGATATTTTGACATAGGATAAGCAACTCAACATCGTTGTACTTTTCTGAGTTTTAAGTGCATTGAAGAAAATTTAAAATGTCAATAGCTATTAAACTTTCACTTTTTTGGTTGTACCTTGTTTATTATTATTTCTAACATTTCTTTAATAATCTTTTTCTTTCACGAACATATAAAAACACATGAAAATCGCACACTGATAGCCTCCCGTAGTTCATATTTAGTCTGGCGCTGCACACACGTAGCGAATAAAGATAGAAGGGACTATAATATCACTTGCTGAACGAGCGTTGCCGATAATCGTTGACTCTCCCGATTGATTAAATGTCATATGTCATATGTTGTATTTTAATAATATATTGACAATTGTGATGACTGATAATTTTGTAAGATAATAATATTTAATAATATTTATCAGAACATTTAATATAATTCAAATATTATCTGTGATAGTTTTATCCCTATAATATAATGGCAATTGTGTGGACTGATAATTTTGTAAGAATTTTCATAATAATGATATTGCCCCTGCGAAATAAATGATATGTACATGTAATCAAATACACATATTAAAATCGTTTATCAGGGCACGCCTGTTTTCGTGCCTACACGAGTGATCATCGTGTGCCCGCGATTTAGTGCTCTACGAGACGATGTAGAAAAGATATTGAGGCGAAGAATTACTCCAGATGCTGTTGTTGAAGTGATGCTGACAACTGAAGATGCTTGGAACGCGAGAATTGTGAGAGATGTGTTAATTGACCTGCGTTCTATGGAAAGAGAAAGGGCTTATGGGACTTCGATCAATTAAAAACTAAGTATAAAATTAGTGTAAGAATGATAGCATTCTAGTTCCTGCCCCCACGAAGTAATGCCTAACGGCTGAGGACCAGAGGCAAAGCGGAGGTTTTAGTCGGTATAATACCCAGGCGGTTTTGTATATATGTGTACATATTACACACATAGTACCTACACACATATTTGTATATATATATATATATATATATATATATATATATATATATTATAGAATTTTATGATATGAGTGGAACGAATATTAATTGTTTAAACAATTAATATATATATATATATAATATATATATATATATATATATATATATATATATATATATATATATATAATATATATATATATATATATATATATATATATATATATATATATATATATATATATATATATATGAGTGCGCGTTACGAATTACTACATATACAATTTCAACAACCCACAATATTTGAAGAATAATAATAAAATTCATAAGCTATATATATATTTGTTGAATTCATACAATTGAAACACAACTTTTTTTTAAATAAAACAACATGTTTGTGACAATATCTATAGGCAATAATAATTTTGGTCCGGCAGACAATCTTCTTTGCCTGATTGTAATACTTATTTATCATTATTGAATAAACTTAATAGTTTTGTATCATTCTAGATAGCTAAAATGTTATAAAGCCATTTTTCAAAAAAATCTTATTCATAACTTTATATGCATTTACAAAATTCATCTTTGGTAGAACTAACTTAATATCTACTGTACAATGTCTTAGTAAATTTATGATTCGTAATCATATTGACATTTATATATCTATTATAAAATATAAAACAACATACAAGCATTATAAAAACACTCCAACACTTTGAAAATCTTAAGTTTTATAATTATAATTTTAGTTAGAAGTGTGATTCTATGAGTTCAATCATAAAATCAGCATTTTCTTATCATTTGAACATGGAGACCGTATAATTCACTAATATTTCTAATTTCATAAATATTGTATTAGTGAATTTGAAGCAATTTGTATTTAAATGCTGTTCATTATTTATCTTTACACAATTGACAATTTACACAAAGTAAATGATAATATGATCAGCTAATAATTAGTTAAATTTCAATGAAATTGAGATCAAGTTGATAAATAATTTTACTTGCTGTTAATAATTAATGAGAAATAAATAAAATATGTTAAATTGAACAGGAAGTATTTAGTGATCACACATCGCAATTGATTCAAGAATTACATTTGTCGCTTATTATACATTTTACATAAGTTATATTTTTTGCCAAATGTTTATAAGTACTACCCAAAAGGCTAAAATTTACTGCTCAGAGCAAATCCAATCCGCTTTGTTTTCAACACTTCACCCACATAATAAATATATTCTGTGAATTGCTAATTGGAATTTTGTTCCTAATCAATCGATTAGTATTTTTTTACATTTCTAATACTAGAGGCACAAATTGAATAATTTTTAAACAAGCTCAACATGTTTTTAATTATTTGCATAAGCTATGCTATATATAGTATGCAATTTGATATGATAGCTATACACAATGGGAAGACAAATGATATGAAATTAGAAGTTATATTAAATTCTGAACCATATTTAAAGATCGCAAAGTTCATAAATATTTAGTACAAGTTCGAATTCATAGAACAATTAACCTTCTTTTAAATCAAAAGCAGTTCGATAAGTTTTATAATTATCCCATTTCAAATAATAATCTTAGATAAAAGCATAAGTTTATGAGCTAAGATCATGAAATTTGTATTACAATATCTAAATGAGGCTAAAACTCCGTTTTATTTCCTTCTGCAGTTCTATATTTTTTAAGAAAAAATAGAACCTCAGGACATTCTTCAAGATAAATATTTTTTAAATTCCTAGCATATTAACCTATGTTAAAATTAACAAACGTTTTAAGTTTTAGGTAACTATGAGAAATCCTTAATTATTTAAGAAGTTTCATAAAACTCAACTATGTCACAATAAAACCTTTCATGCTAGAACCCCTCAAGGAATAAATTAATAGATTAATTAGAAATATCTGTAACAGCTAAACATATGTATTTATTCATATAAATAATTTATAATTAATGATCCAGTTTTTAAACATCAAAATATTCTGCTAAAAATAAGCAACTATTAAAAATGTAAAAAAATAGTCAACTAAAATGTTATTTTAGTTTAAAAGTTAATGTTCTAGTTCGTCAAAAAAATCTCCATTGAAGTTATATAAAACTTACTTAAAAGCCAAATAAACATCATATATTGTACTAAACTAATATTTTCAATAAAAATTTACCGACCACAATTATAAAATATTTTTTATTATTTTTATGTTGGTTATAGTTCTTATATTTCCTATACTATTTAAAGTTGGTATACAGTATACCTAGTAAATCACAAAAGTTGGAATAACGTACCACAGAAGAAACTTGTTACGAATTTAATGGTTGCGTAAATGAAACGTACATATTACAAAATTTGTATTCAAATGTATGCACGTATTCAACTTTTTTTTGAAAAATTAATTTCCATATTCATAAGAAATTTTATTAAATTGTTAAGTTACCTCAAAGACACCTACACATTTATTTTGTGATTTGGAAACGTAACAATGACAAAACCGTTATGTTTGCAATTTGGAACCGTAACAAACGTTCTAGATTATATAACCGCTATGTTTGACGTAACATCTTTTACGTAATATTACCGTTTTAATTACGTTTTGTGGTCTTATTACTAATCAAGTTTCAATAATTTATAAAATATTGTTTAAATGAAACAAAACTTGAGGATAATGTAATTAAAGAACATTCGCGCTCACAACATTTTTTTATGAAAATCGAACTTTTCGTTTCAAATTTCGTTTTTTCTATAATGTGGTATTAGGTAAAAACCTGCTAGCTTTCGACTGTCATTGACAGCAAGCAACTATTTATGAACAAGTTATCCAATTTTTAAACATGGTATAGAATTAATAAAAATTTAGCTTAATATAAAAAGGCACAGGTGGATAGCAAAAATAAATAGGAAATATCAATTAGGAATTTGAGGATAGATACAATTTTAAATGGCAGTTTTAGAAGTTTGTTACGGGATTTTATACAGTTAATAACTCTGAATGCATTAACTAAATATTAGTGCTGTCTGGAAAGTTTTCAGGAGTTGTATACTCCTACTTTCGGAACCTGGTTTTAAAATTAACATTGCAATATACACACTACTGCTGCATTATGCATGTAATTTAAAAGCAATTCCGAAAATGACCGATTATGGTATTAATATAATTATTAAAAAAAATGTCAACATTATTTTTAATGTAAAATTATGGTTTATGAAATATAAAATGTTTCTTTAAGTACGGATGTTCAAATACTTAATAATAATATATGAATGCATATGCTGTGAAAGAGCCAGGAGACTTATTCCGAATTTTTTGATAGTTCTTTTTTTTTTTAAATTGTACATTGTTATGCTAGTAAGATTTTTTGCTGATATGCAACATTTGATGCAAGTTTTAAAAATAATATCCTAAACAATATTTAAAACTTTTGTAAAATAAATTTCATTACTTTTTCTACTATTTAAGTTTTTCCTATATTAAATATTGCCTCCAGAAGTGGATAATGCATAAGTAAGATCTGTTGAAATAACAATTATAAATGAATGAATGAATGATCAGATTAATGCAGATATATTTTAATTCACTAACAATAAGTTGAAAGATAAACATGGATTTACGAATCAACTTCGAACCTTGTAAGTACAAAACAGCATACATTTTTATATGAAAAAAAAAGAACTTTTAGCGATATAAAGGCTTGCTTCAGTTCGCCTATATTGAGGGGGCGAAGAATGAATGAAAAATTACTTCTTGTGGAAAGAAATGCGATTGTTAATTTAGATACTTCAATAACACAAAAATGATTAAATTTAACAGATATGACTACTTCATCACTAATCTTATCATTAATTTCCGAGTTGATTAAGGACCAAATCGCTTTATATTCATTTGCGGAATTAAAAATCAAGTAATCATTAAATTTGGTTTTTGCTAAATTGACAAGATTATTTGAAATAGTCTCATATTTTAGAAAATAAATTTTAAAATTTACGTGATGAATTAAGTAAAATTATCAACCCTTTCGTTAGCCAAAAAGTTGTAGTATTGTTCTTTGGGCAAACAGTTTTTTTCGGAATAAAAATGTTGAAATAGAGTTTTGAAGTCAACGGACTTATTAGGTAAGTTCCATGATTCCTTTTTCAAGTTATTTAAAAAATAATTTATTTATCATCAAAATTTCTTTTGCGTGAATTGAAGTTTGTTTCAGCATTTGAAAAATTATAAAAATTCAATATTATATATTAAATCTAAATCTAAAGCAAAAACGCACAAATTGACCTTTCTGAAACTGATAAAAAAATATCAATACAGGAAGATGAAAGTGTAATTTCATGTGTAGTTTGGATTAGGCCAAAAGATTGCATTTTCAGTTTGAGGTTAAGAAATGACTGTTTGCTTATCTAAATGTATATTAATAACTCCACAAAAAATGACTGCAGAAAATTTCTCAAAAAGATTATCAATTCATTCGTACATCAGAGAGATGAACATATCAACTTTCTGGATGGGTGATTGATAAACGCTTATAAGACAAACGACGGCATTTGGGAGATTAATTTTAAAAGCACGATATTCAAGAAGTTTTTCTACTTGAAGAATGTCAATACAAACGGGCTTAGACCAAATTTTATCACTTTCCAAAATGCACACAACTTCGGGCGATATTGAAATCGAATGAAATGAAATATAAATCATGTCTTTGGAATTTAATTATATCAAAGTCCGACTTTTTTGGCCAGTGTTCAAACATAATATTTGAGGTTTGTATATATCCATAAAAACTTCTAAATGATTCAGTTTATTTGAAAGTTTTTGAATATTTTAGGAAATAATCGACATTATCGCCTGTAGACACGATAGGAATGAGAAACTCAAGGTTTCATTCCAGTCACAGTTTTTTCCCGCGGAAAAGAAAATGCAAGCCTTGACTAGTGTAGTCGGATAATCCAAAAAGCCTGTTAACATCAAAAATACGAAGATTACTAAACTTTTCGCCTGTTGCACCGCACGTCATCGTTCCTGTACGAAATTGTCAGCAAACAAAGATTTGTCTTATGGCATGAACGACGAGCCTTTTCTAAAGCTCTACAAATAGCGTCATTGGAAAAATCATTATTTGTTTGAGCAGAACAACAACATGGTCACTTGGACCAAAGTCAGGCACCAGACTCTCAATATCACTCAAACGACATGGCCACTTGAACCAAAGTCACACACCAGACTCTCGATATCACTAACCTCCTCATTACTATTAAAATTCGGCTCTCCGCTTGACTATGCTGACAAACTTTCGTTCAAGCAATGAAACAAAACTTTACTGTTTTTAATAATCTAGATTAGGAATGAATACCAGTCTAGAATCTGAAGCACCTCGAGCAGCGCGATAATATTGTTTTATCAGTAACAGTAAAATTTTGTTTCTTTTCTATGGCCAATCTGCTATTAACCCAGACAACTAATTACAGAATTAAAAAAAAAAAAAAAACTTTGAAAGCTAAATCTGAGAAACTCATCTTCCCTAACATGAAACTAATACCAGTAATCCTGAGTTGGAGGAAGATTACGATTCCCTAACTTAACCTTATTGTCAGACAATTCTTTTGTTAGCCTATCAATTGTAATATCCCTTCATTTGCAAGAGATTGTAAATGGAGACAATTAGAACAAAACACAGTTGAATTTAAATCTATGGAGCCACCCAAAACTGAAACACTAGTATCTAAAAACTGACATTGCACTTTGCTCCGTGTAACAACCATTTTAAATAATTAATAATGACTAACTAATTTGAATAATTAACAATTTTCAAATTATAATTGAAATTTAAAAAAATAAAACGATTTTAAATATATAAATGATTTACACAGATTTAATAAAATGGAGGTAGTGTAAAAAAAGCGCGTAAGGGGCCGTTCAAGTATTACGTAAGCACTATAGGGGGGCGGCAGGGGTTGTTGATTTGCTTATTTTGGGTTGACATGGGGGGCAGGGGAGTCTGGATGATGATTACGTCATAGGTAGTATTTTTAACTTCCCGTAGGGTAAGTTATTGTAATGGGCCGAAAATCGGAATTGAAAATTTTTACATTTCTCGACGTTTTGAAGGTTTCTGAACGTTTTGGCATACTTCAGAAAAAATGGATGTGTGTGTGTGTGTGTGTGTGTGTATGTATGTATGGATACAAATTTTCGCCCACGTTTTCGGGCGTACGGATCAACCGATTTGAATGGTTTAAAAAACATTCGATTCCTATTAATAAGGAGAAGAGCTGATTAGTTTTTGGCAAAGACAGGTCCAGCAGTTACGGAGATAAGGAGCAAAGAGTGCAGAAAATAGAAATCGAGTTTTTGAGAGAACGGAGCATCCGATTTGAATGATCTAAAAAACATTCAATTAGTAATGATTGGGAGAAGGGGTTATTAGTTTTTCGCAAAGGCAGGCCCAGCCATTTCGGAGATACAGAGCTAAATGTACAAAAAATAGCAGTTTTTGAGAGAACTAAGCGTCCGATTCAATTGATTCAAAGAACTTTCTGCTTGTCTTAACAAAATAATTAATTTTGGAAAAAAAAATATGTACCATTTTTTTTTTTTTTTTTTTTTTTTTTGTATATCGAAAATAATTCATATTTTATTTATAATTCTGACTATAGTTCTAATATACTTTAAACAAATAATTTCAACTCTGCAATTCAGTTTATATAATTCTTATAAATATTAGACAATGTTACAATATTTATAATGATCTATTTGAAAACATTCAATATTCCTCGAACATTTCGTTACGGTACGGGAAGTTCCAGCAATTTGCCTTAAGGCACGATGCCACCCACCCCACTAGTTATTTTTTTACATTAATTGCAAAATGTTTACGTAAGCATGGGGGTAGGGGGTAAGAGCTTTGCTTACTTTTGCTGACAAGGGGGATGGGGGGGGTAAATAACTAATAAATCTGCTTACGTGATACTTGAACGATCCCTAAGTGTAAACACTCAAAAATAACGGGATTTAACGGTAAGTTGAACAAAGCATTTTGAAATAAGAAAACCAGGTTCCGATTTCACTTTGACAGTCTTAAAATATATTGTGCAACCAATGCAATCATTAACCTTAGTATATCTAAAATATTAATTAAAAGCAAAGTATTTTCTGGGCCAATACTAGAAGAAAATCCAGTGCTTTTATCACGGACCAGAACTTAATAAGCAAGAGTTGGTAGATCAGGTTAATGCGTTTATTATTACCAAACCAACAAAAAAAAATATCCTTTATGAAGAACACCTAAAGTTTACTCTTCTGAGATGATGATGAATTTACTACCGGCGATAGAATAGACTGTCAAATCAAACCCCACATTACACCACTTTTCATAAGACTATAATATTTTAAGAGATTTGATTTGACTAGCAACTAAATCATCATGCAAAATGTCATCAAAATTTGAAACGAATAAACATGAGGTTTCCCTTGTTAATAGAAACTCAATATTTTTCAATGGTAACAAAAATAATATTTATTCCAGAACGCTATTATAAAAAAATACCATTCATTCAAAATGCATAGACTCAAGAAATAATTAAGAAGTACAGAAAATCAAAAGCTTTGACTATTTATTATATTAAAATGCCTAATAATAATTTTTAGTAACGATTTTAGTAAATAAAGAAATTAATCAAATGTTGAAATGTATAAAATAAAAATAAATTTGTAACTTTTTTTTATATAAGGGTTAAAAATTAAAAAACTAGTATGATTGACGATTTCATATCATAAAATTTATATGAAAACCTGCCCTTTGAAAATCAAGTTCTGCTCCGCGAGGATTGCTGCTTAAACTTTAGAAATCTTTTTAAATATTTCTCTCATAAAAATTTACATGTATTAATGAAATTGTATATTGTGCATATCATATTTTCCGCATCGTATCTACAATTAATTTTTGGAAAATAGCTATTTTTACTAAAACTAATATCACTCCACAACGCGTAATAATGCTTAAAAATAACAAACGCCTGAAAATGCATATTTACAAAAACTTTAAAGTTATTGTCATGAAATCTTATTCACTAAATTAATTAACAGTTCGTTGCTTAAAAAATTATTTACACCACCCAAAAATCTGAAAATAAAATTGTTTTATATCAGAATAGTAAGAGTTAGATTTGAACAAAAAAAAAGATTGTTACCTTCAGTTCATATCAGGCGTATATCCTAAATTTTTCCTTTGTAAAAACAAATGAATTTCTCTAAATCTTGGCCTATCTGATTCATTTCTTTGCCAACATTCTCCCATAAGATCGTAGATTTCTTTTGGACATCCGATCGGTAATGGCAGTAAAATCTAAAATAGAAAATTGTGATATATGCTTTCAAATAAATTGCATTTAGTAGATTTTTAATTTTGAAGCCATTTTTTGTGCATAACAGTATAAGTCCCATTGAAGCACTTATAGTATTAAAAAGTAGAAATATAACATAAGAATCGGGTATAAATAATATAGCTATACTTTACTACTAATATAAAGTATATTAGTATATATAGTATATGCTTGAAATCACACTAGAAAATAACCCACAAATTGGTAGTAACTAAAAGGTGAGATTAAGTTGTTCTCTTTTCTCTAAAGATTGTGACTGATTATTTTCAGAAATCTCTATATGTTAAAACATATAGACAGAAATACAAAAAAATATTTGAGTTATATATTCACTGATTACAGAAGCAACCATCAATTAAAATAAAAAAGAGCTTATTAGTTATATTTTAACGAAATACGATATGATTATTTATCATAAATTACCTGTCTACCGGTGTCTCTATAGAAATGACCAGCATTATCTAAGACATCCTCGTCAGACAATTCCTCGAAAGGTTGTTCCCTTGCAAAAGTAAGAAGCTCCCAAAGAGTAACTGCAAATGCCCATACATCGCTTTTATGGGTAAATTTTCCCTAAACAAAAAATACAATACATACAGTACATAGATACAAATATAAGAGAAATGATACAGAAAAAACTAAAAACGTCAGTATCAAATTAGGAATTAGATTCTAATGCCATGCCATGTACCTTGCGGCCTGATCCCGATTTTTTTGTGGATTAATCACACAAGTTAATATTTCATTTTTTTCAAATTATTATCAAAAAATAAAAACCTTTCTCATGTGAAGAATAATACATAAAAGAATATTTAATTGCAGCTGAAAAAAATAGCACACTAAATATTCATTTTTATAAAATCATCAAACTGATAACATATAGCACGGGGCCGTGCCTGAGGCCAAATTTGAAAAAAAAATGTGTGTATATGAGCCGATTGTTGATTTTTTGCCAACGTTTTCTCAAAAACTGTTAATTCTATGTCATAAGTTTAAAAGCCATTCGATGTAACTCAATAAGGACTAGTAGCCTATATCAGTTTTGTGTCGATCGGCCAAGCCTTTTCTTTGTAATCAGAAACAAAATCACATATTAGCCTTAATCGATTTTACAAATTCGAACCTATTCTTGCAATCGGTTTTATAAAGAAAAATCCGATATCGATTCTAAAAATTCAGAAATTATTTGTTTGGGAATCGCGCTGATTAGTTTTGAAAGATCGGTCGGGTCGTCTTTTCGTATTTAATTGTTATTTTTGTTTGCTTCGATGATACTCATGAAACGATAAATATGGTCTTAAAGTTTGAGATGCTTTGCATAAAAAAAGAAGATCAAATTCGTATGTTAAAATTCTCCCTTTAGACGACGTTTTCTTAAAAATAGGCAATCCGGTTTGAAAAATTGATGAATGATTGATTGAAGTGCTTCATAGTTTGCCTCACAATTTCACGTTTCTTTAAGATTATCAAAAAAAAGTCAAATTTTCGTCCACGATATAGTGCAAATTATTACAAAAAGATCATTTGAGAATCGTGCTGATTACTTTTTGGAAAAAATTGGTAGTAGGTTTCTTAGTTATTGATTACATTTTTTTTGCGATTTTTATTAAAATTTGTACAGCGAAAGAGTTCCTGTTTCTGTTCCCAAACAAACTACAATATTAGGCCTACCACGACTGGTTTAATTTTAAAAAATTTTTTAAAGTTTGGATTAATTGGCCGCGTTTTTAGAAAATACTTATTGTAGGTATTAAACGCGTGTTTGTTTGTCATTCAATAATGCGTAATTTATAAATAATTTGTAAAAAAAATAACTAATGTGTTCAGAAAAATTGTACAAAATTGAACAATCTGCAATAGTTTTTCACATTGTAATGCACTCATAAATTAATAAATTTCTTATAGTTAATTCGATTAGTATAGAGTAATGTTTCCCATCCTTTTATGGATCACCTCCATCTTAATAGATAATAGATAATTATTATTTTTATTAATGACATATCTTAAATTATTAGCTGTTGATGATCTCAAACTATATCTCAAAATAAATTCTATTGATGACTGCTTATTATTATAGTCTCAACTTGACTCTTTCCACTCTGGGTGTGTCTATAACAAATTACATTTAAATATACCAAAGTGCAAGTTTTTCACATAAGCGCGTTCCAATACATTTTGATTATAAAATTTCTAACACCAGCATTGATAGATGCAATAAAATTTCGGATTTAGGAGTTTTATTTGATTCTGGTTTGTTTTTCACGGATAATAAAACTGATATTTGTAATAGAGCACATAAATCTTTAGGTTTGATACTGAGAAATTGTAAACAATTCAATTCTAACAATGCACTTCTTTGCGTGTACTATTCTAATGTACGTTCAAAACTAGAATATGGTTCGATTATTTGGTATCTTCATCAAATCAACAATTCCAATTTGGTACGTCTTGCCTCACGTCGATTTATCTGTACAATTATGTTCTTATTTAAACTTTGCAATAATTATATAGACTGTCCTTTTATTCTTAACTAATTATCCTTTAATGTTCCAAGGCTATCTACACGTTCACAATTATTTTTCAATTATCCTACTCCTAAATCTAATTCTCTCTTAAATTCTCATATTTTACTTATGTCCTCTAACTTTAACTTAATTAATAATGAAATAAATATTCACAACACTTCACCTAATCAAATAATCTCCATCTGGACAAGCTAACCTTTATATTTTTCAAATATCTCATTATTTTATCTCATTCTGTTTATAAATAACATTGTTACATTCTGCATTATATGTAATTTTATGTTAATAACTATATATTGTAATTTTGTATATATTTTAATTGTTATTCATTATGTAAAATAATTGTATTTTTGAGTCCTCTTGGAAGAAATCTGTGGGCTATATATTTAAAATAAATAAAATAAATAATCCAACTATTATCTGTCACACAGCAAGATACTTATACCATTAGACTATATATTGTCTCTACGTTTCTATCGCGCACCTTACTACTACTCTCTATTACCTCCACTACCCCTCTATTGGGTTCAAAACTTTCAAAAAATTCAAAATATAAAAAAACTAATTTTTCAAAAAAGTCATTCTTCAATAATTTCAAAATTTTGAAAAATCTCATTTTTTCAAAGTTTTCAAAAAAATTTAAAGCTTTAATAAAAAATATAATTCTTGGTACCAGAAGTTCCAGTATTTTTTGTACGTAATGCAAGGTTTTGAGTACCATATTCGTATGTAATACAGACCCATGTCACCAATACAATATTAGAGCTATTACGTAAGAAAGTTTTTTTGTACTTACCAGTAATAAACTCTCCCAAGCCAGCCATCTTATCGGCAAAGTCGGCGATTGAGCAATCTGATATCTCGGCGGTCCACCTAAACTCAAACCCGTCAATTCCTCCAAACGACAATAGTCGGCCGCGTACAGCTCCCTTGAGCAATCGAAGTCGCCAACTTTCACCGAATATCGTGCACCCACGTAACAATTCCTGGAGGATAAAAGTTTGCGTAAACAACTATTGTACCGGATGAAAGGAAAAATATGTCATCAGAATGTAAAGACTATTTTGTTATTTATAATTTTAATGTTTTTCACCTGGTTGCCAAATCTTTATGTACATATCCAATTGACTCCAGGTATTTCATTCCTGAAGCTATCTGTGTCGCCATATATATTAGACAACCGTAACTGAAAATATTAAGAATATTATTTAATATTTTTATATAATGATGAAGTTTACATAAAGAAAGAGATTATTAGTGTAATAGAGTAATATTTTTTGCTTCCACTGTGAGATAATGATTACAAGGAACATGGGATACAATTTGCTGAGTTCTTTACTTAAAGTTTTACATATAATATGTTTATAAAATGTTTTTACTAAAAATACTAAATGAATATATAAGACCTCAAAATTGAGCGAAATATAGTAAACTTTTTATAATTGAGACCTCCTTGGGACGATGGAAAGTAACCAAAAATCTGTGCAAAAATATATAGTCCAAAATTTGGAGTTTTCATAGGTGTGTAAAAGTATGTAAAAATTTTATATGCCAAAGACCCATACAACTAACTATTTAAATTACACGATAATTTTATTTTTTAGTATTTCTTATCACTATATTTAACTACTGTTTCTGGGTATCGGAATAATGTAAGGAACATTTTTATCGCAAACGATATCAAATATTAAATTTAAAAGCTTTTAAAGTATATATTAATTTTATGTAATTAGTGTTGGATGGATCACCTTTAAATTTATGTATCTTATTTGTTTACAATTAAATTATTATTGATTATAATGTGCATTTTTAAAAATTAATAAAGTGTTAGTACAAAATATAATATAATGTCATTGATTATGTTAGAGAACTTTTCAAAAGCTGCGTGATGATAAAATATTATAAAGTGAATTTGAAAATAAAGTTTGGCAATTTTTTTCAGAAGCTAAGCATTTTTTTAAATTAATTGTTCATTTTAAATTAATTTCACGATAACTTAATCTTAAACGAAATAAAAAGATAAGATTTAAGTATTTGAAACGTTAAAAAAAATTAAATGTTTCTCGAAATATTTTTGCAGGATAGAGAACTTATAAAAAATCTTGATATCAATTGAAATTAATATTATTTTAAATAATTGTAAATTATTTTTTATATTTATAATTATTATATTAATATTTATAATTTTTCAATTTTCAAATATATGGAATGTCTGCTTCTTCAAAAACAATAAAAAATAAAAAAAAATTATACGTCCAAACCATTTTTATAATTGATTTAGAAATTGATTTTGAACTGTTAACAACAAGCAACAATTGTGCACATTTATCATATTATTTGAACAATGCTACCATACTGCCACTTAATTTTAGATTATTTAAAAAATGCAAACAAATATGTAGGCAATTTTTTAAATTTTAACAGTTCGTGAAAAATGATATCCCATATCCCTGAAACTTCAAACTAATTATAAATAGAAAATTAAATTAAAGTGTTTTTTGAAAAAAATGTAGCTATTATAGTTTAGAAAAATTAAAGCATGTTTAATATTCACATAGACTTAAACAATGTATATACAGCCAACCCTCCGTTAACACGGCATTTTGGAAACCCAGTTCCTATACTAAGCAGATATGAAAATGCGATATCCCTCCGATAACACGGTTTTCCATACAACGCGAAAGATTTTTCACGGAACATTAGTCTTTTTTTAAAAAAAAACTGCTCGAACAACTTTTTGTTAGAACAGTTTTTTAAATCAGTTTTGTCGACGTTGATACATATTTGTAATATTTTTGCAGCCCAACCGTCGAATTAAAAAAAAATTAAATAACAAAATTATTTATTCCATTAAACGTTTCGGCACTTGATGTGTGTCATCATTCAGTAATCTAAAAAAACATATATAACATATAAACATACATTATATATATATATATATATATATATATATACATATTTTAATTGGGCTTTAGTAGCATTGAACCACTTAAAATTCTTGTATATATATAACAAATTCTACGAAAATTTTTAAGTTTTGATGTCTTTTGTTCTAGGTCTCCATATAACGATATAAAAATGCTGAGATTTGTACTAATTCAAATAGTACGCACTACGAATTAGAAAAAGTACTCTCCTATGTACAGAATAAAGAAGTATTGAAAAAAAACATTTATATTTATGAAAAATAACTAATTTTAAAAACCAATAAACAATAATAAATATACCATAATGTCAAATATATATAATTCTATAACTATTAAAAAATCTGCAGTGCATCACACCTGTATATTAATTACCTGAGTGTTTGTCCAACGCCCGGTATTCGATCAACCGTTTCCGCAACATGTTCCTGCAGAAATTGATTCAAATCGCCGAGCTCCGGATATTCGAAAACTATACAAATGGGCTCATTACTTAGACATGCTCCTAAGATTCGTATAACATTTCTATCTTTCAATCTGCTCAGACTGAGAGCTTCTCTGCTGAATTCAGCGTGATTTACCGACGCCAAACCAGATTTCAATGTTCGCACTACGACCAGCCGCCTGTTGAAATGATAAAGCGGTTTAATAATATGGAATGAAAGTATAATAAACTTGATATTATATTATGCTATTTATTACTATATGCTATTTTATTTGTATATACATGTATATAACGTACGTAGTTTATGATAATTTTTAAATTAATGTTAATCAATATTATTACCAGTTAATTATTCAATTTATGGAACTTTGTCAAAATCTTATTTTAATTCAGAGCGATAAATTGCATAAAATAACTGATATAAAACTTTGAAATACCATCATAATATTTAAATATTTGCTTTATTATTAATGGTCATATCATTGCAAATAAAATCATGAATGTTAGTAGTAGTAACATAAATACTAAAAAAATAAGAAAGTATATTTTGCTTATTTTGGGTAAGAACTTTTGCTGAATTTTGCTGACAAAGGGGAGGGGGGGGGGGTAAATAATTGTAATAAATCTGCTTACGTAATACTTGAACGATCCCATATCAAAAATAAATTAGATTTCAATTATAAATATTAGACAATTTTACAGTATTTAATTATAATAATCTATTTGAAAACATTTAATATTCCTCGAACATTTCGTTACGGTAGGGGAATTTCCAGCAATTTGCCTTAAGGCACAATGCTATACACACCACTAGTTTACTATAAAATTGGCAAATCAATACTTCTGTTAATGAAATATTTAAAGAAGCTTAAACATTGTGCATATGCAAATACTAGCCCTACTGAAAATTTCATTCCGTTTTGAAGAAAAATACATTTTGCAGGTAATTTTTAATAAATTTAAATAAAATTGCATTTTTTTAGTACGATTTGTATTTGTCAAAAACTTCTGAACAGCAAGTACCCTTAGAGATCTGAGATCACAAAATGATCGTTGGATTGGGATCTGGAGAATACGGTGAATGAGAAAGCAAATCATGTATATTTGCTCAATTTTATTTCGATTAAACAGCTCTCCAAATACTCTTCCGAATCATCAACTCAAATCTGGTGAAATGTGAGCTCTAACTTGTTCTGTTGATAAATATGTCCAACTTGTTCTACTGATATCTTTGAGGTGTCTGCTATTTTGATCAACTTCACCTTACGGTCATTCATAATTATTTTGTAGATTTTTTTTAATATTATCGTCGATAATCACATGACTATCTACACGTAACTTTTTATATCATATACAAAAATGAGAACTTCATTATCAAAAATATTTATAGAGTATTTGATTTATAAAATCTTTCGATCTATCTTATAAATAAGTAATATCATTTTTATTAAATAATTTTCATATATATTCACTGAATATTGGCAGAAATTTTTTCATGAACATGATCAAATCTCTGTATATTTTTTATATATTCATTTATATTTTTTAGTATATAGTAGTATATAGTATAATAATTATGAATTATACAGATCAATAAAAAATGCCCTTCAGAAAAATGTACTGTATAAGTTTGAAAGCAAAATAATGTATGAAAATTACAGATTTTAAGAACAGTTACAAAAAACTTTAGACCAAAAAAAATATTTGTTTTACAAAAATTATAGTTTTGAAGCTTTTGTTATGAAATATATATATATATATATATATATATATATATATAGAGGAAGTTGAATACTCATATTCGTGTGAATCAAAATAAATAATATGCATTTTAAATTGAATAGGATATAATCATCACTTAAAAGTTTAATGTCTATTGAAATATATATTCAATTATATGCTATAATAATTAATTTTCCCTGACCTTATAATTCCATTTTCTCCACCGTCGTACGGCAAAGTAGCCTCACATAAGTGTACTTCTCCTTTATTACCATCGGCAAGTTTCTTAACTATTTTCAGCACTTCTCTCGGGAATTCAGGTGGAGCTTCTAAAAATCCTTCCTGCTCAAAGTCGATGGACGCCATATCGGGCAGAGAAGATTCTGTATCGTCCAGAGGACAAGGACTGTTTGGTTCACTATAAGGTATCGTACTATCCTGAAATGAAATAAAAATCGAAATTATATATTAATATATAATAAATTTTGAAGTCTTACAAAATTTGTTCGTGCTGCAGAAATATAGTATTCAAGGCATAACATCAAGTAAAAAAATAACAAAACAGAATATTTTGAAACATCTAAATTACAGACGCTTTGACAAAATTACATGAAAGCACACTATTTTTTTTAAACGAACACAATATATGTATTTATAATGCATATAGAACATTACATATTTATATACATTGTTAGCACAATGTATCCAGCTAGTGGTGCCTAATATAGTACCTTGAGGAAATTTGCTAAAACTTTTATTACTGCAATTTAAAAGCTTTGAAAGTGTTAACATTTTTGAAAACATTTAAAAAAATGATTTTTTTGTAAATTTAAAAACAAATCGTCTTTTATAATATATATTTAAATTTTGAAAATTTTGAAGTTATTTAAAAATCGCGCCTTGTCGCATTCTAACGGTTAAACATTATAGATCTTGGTACCGAACCAATAGAAATGTAAACGAAATTTATACTTATTATTGAAAATCTCTCTAATATATGTGAATTTGATATGCATATGACCACTCTGTACATATCATGTACTTATTAAAATCTATTTCGTTAAAAAGCTATTTGGTGTTTTCAGAATAATGTATGGACTTTTATGGTAAAAAAGTATTTTTATTGACGTTCAAATAATATTTCACTTTTTAAAGATTAATAAATACTAATTCAAAATTTAATCATATTCAATGAACAATATGTATTGCCAAAACCAAACTGATGGCATACTGATAAACGCTGGAAACTAAAAATACTTACGATCTCTCCAGTTCGTCAAATATTGCAAATATTTGATTGACTAGTTGAAAGTGGCATTTAGTCTTAAGCCAAATTGCATGAACACACTGATAGATTTAATAATTGACTTAATCAACCGAAATTGAGTTTTAAATATTTAGATAAAATTTTAAATTGTTTATTTCGAAAATAAATTTGCCGCTTTCAAATAAATCTAAACATTGCGATTCCCAATAGAATTTTCTCAAACACATTTAACAAAATTTCTGTAATTATATTAATTATATTGCACAGACAATAATTTCATTGCTCGTATGTCCTAAAATTATAGCTTATTATTTTAAATTTTAATGAATTTATAATGTTTGGCTCATCACATCACAAAAGCAACTTTTGACACAATTTTTGATTATAATATTTTCTAAAATTTTGATGAATTTTTAACATTGAACTATTTGTCGTAAGGCCGTTACATTTTAGCATGTTTTATAAGACCATGATTGTCTATTGCCAAAAAAGGTTCATAAAAATCGTCAATTTTTTTCAACAGTTAATTTCCAGAAACCGGCTCTGTAGATTTTTACCTAAAACTAATCAGTATCATTCCCAATCAATATCATTCAGAAAGTTTTTGATTTTTTAAAATCGATTCAGAATTAAGAGCTAAAACGAGGACGAATTTTTTTCACTTCTTTGATATTTACTAAGTAAAAGCTTGGCTGATCGTCGCGCAAAATTGATAAGCGCCAGTCCTCTCATCGAGATACATAGAATGGCTTTTAATATTTTGAAATCGGTCTAGCTGTTTTAGAGAAAACTTTGATTTACGGTAAATAATCTCTTCACTCACACACACATTTGGTCTCATTCGATCCAGAAAGACTTGAAACGTCAAGAAAACATAAAATAAGCGAATCGAATATTTTGATGAAAACATAAACTTCTCCTTCGAGTAGATAATAATTATATTTTCATGAAAACATATGAACCTTCGAATAAATTGTAAATTAAAAAAGAAAAGTTGACCATTTCAAGTAAGTGGACACATCGATTTGAAAATAATCATGATCTACAAAAAAGTAACTTATTTATTTTGACTTGAATAAGAAAATATTCTCTCATAGAATAAACGTGATATTTTGGAATAGCCCATTAAAACTATTCTGAATGTTTTATATTGCGTGTTGAAGAATAGTGTAAAATATATAAGTCAAAAAAGTTGTAAATGAAAAGGCATTGCAAACAATTATAGCAAAAACATTATTATTACCTTCGAACTGTCCAAACTCCCAGTAACTGGCTCTTCTTTCCTATCTGTATCTTCCTCATCAGCTGCTGTACCGCCAATAGAGCGGTAGATATCAGAACAAGGTGGCGGTGGAACTGGTGGAGGTTTTGGAAATGATATTTCCCGCAAAGCGCTAGGTGGTATTGGCGGTTGCTGTAGACCTCCACGTTTTGGTATCGGCGGTGGTTCATCATCTACGCCCGTAGAAAGCGGTAATGGACCTTTGTGAGTAGGACTAAATTGCTGGATATGTGCGAATTGACCGTCGACTCTGCTAGAATCTGTTTGGAACAACAGAACAAAATTATTGAGTTACAAAATATATAAATTTTACAAGCGTAGGCATACATTTATTATTGCCTACAAGTGAAATTGCTTATTCGTATAATCGTTTATTTGTGAAAAGAGTAGAATTATAAAATACAAACTAGTTGGTATTGGTATTTTGCCTTGAGGCAAGTTACATGAACTTTCCGATATGTGTATATGATCGACTAAAGCAATATTAAATCAATTAATTTATGAGTGATTAAAAGTATTCTTAGTGGATTTATTACATATATTTGAAAAAGACGAACACGTTAACTCGGAGTATTTTCTGAAAGCAAACTTTCAAAAATCAATATAATTTTTATAATTGAGCCAGATTTTTGTAGGACTTTAATTGTTTAGTATGCTCATTAAGACCAAGTACTCTATCGTTATACCAAGTAAATCATCTAATTTTAATTTTAACAATCTAACTTCAAAATTGAATAAATTTTTAAAATTAAACTACTTGTCGTAAAGCCGTAATATTTCAGTAAGTTCTTTAAACCATGATATACAGTGGTGTTGTGCTAATATTTTTTTTGCCGGAACGCTAAAATTTAAAATCGGGTTCATAAACTGGTTCAAAAAATTTGATATATTTCGATAAGAACTCATAAATCTAATATATTGACTTCTTATATAATTAACTCTATTATATACAGCTAGTTTATACATTAAATTGTACAAGTATGAGGGAATCATTGAGTACATAATTTATATTCTTCAATAATATAATATTAATTATATTTATTCTGGTATTATTTGTATTCATTAATACCTACAGGTATTTATTATGATATAAAAGTACTCAAGATTTATACAATACTTTATAAGACTTAACCTATTAATATGATGGATAACTTATTACCTATCATACTATACTATATTATTGTATATCATAGATAGGTATCTATTATCTATCATACCGTGTGAGATACCTATACCGTCATTAACTCATTATATACCTACATACCTTTTACTTCTTATAAATACTACTGTCTAATTTATATATTCACCTATATATATAGGTTTACCTTACGCCCTATGTATTATCTCTACCTATCCATTGCCTATACCGGAATTGAACCCGGGACCTCCCGCGTGGAAGTCGCGCACCTTAACCACTACCCTATCGGATACCCCCACCAATAATATAATATGGGACGCACTGTTGTTTCCGCTGGTCATTTTCTAATTAATTAGATAATTAATACTAAGGTGGCGCGACGACACGCGAAAAAAGAGACGGTTGATTGTAGCGTTACGGTGGTGTAGAGGTTAAGGTCGTCGCTTGCCACGCGGCGGACCCGGGTTCGAATCTCGGTAGGGTTAATGTAGAGTGTAAGGCAAATTATAGGTAATAGAATATATAGTAGATATAGGTTAGGTGTATTCGGTATACAATGTAGGGATTTTGAGGTATATGATGAAATATAGCGTATGTTATAGATGTAAGGCGTGTTAGTATAGAATGCAACGTATAGTCATACGTAAGGTTATAAAATACACGAATACGAACCTATGATTTAGGTGTTAGCGTATAAGAAATGCGAATGTATATAAGATTTAATTATATAATGTTATTTTTTCTATAAGAATTTTTATCTTATTTTATTTGCCGTTATCACTTCATAAAATTAATTACTGCAGTTTTAAATGATTGTGTGCACTGTGCGACAATAGACCTAAAACTATAAATTTTATTAAATGTTTGAGTAACTTGTGCGAGCTGAATTTCTCAAATGTTCTTAGTCTCGCAACTTACTGAATTCTAAAAATTCTAAATTTAAAAATATAATACAAAAATTATTATACCGCTGTCTGGAAGGGACGGCAATTTATAAATATACAGACTATACATACAGAATTTGGAATTTTTCTATAATCCGTA